AACCTGAGTCAATCTATAACCTCTTGCATAATCCCCATCCTATGCATAACTTTAACCTTAAACCGCACACTAAACCTCATCCTAACCGTAACCCTATGCCTGCCCTAACCGCGATGAATTCAGTTGTTAGAAATTTTAGCAGAAAAGGCCAAACTGACAGTCGTGCATGTTTTTAAGCAAAAGAAGTCGTTTGCTTAATTGATATTGTTAAGTACCCAATTGGATGCACCGTGAACTAATGGTGAAAAAATGCGTACAGTTCTATATGGGTAAAAGGCAGAGCATGCTGCCAGATCATCACCTCGAAAAGCGGTTTCACAACCCTTTTCGAGCTTGTTTGCTGCGGAGAACTAAGCGTACTGCAAGGCTTTGAAGGAAATCTCTCAAAAGGCCCAATTCGTAACTTCCATTTACCATCTCCTAAATCCACATCTCAAGATGTTAGGACCCCTGAAATGGCACAGCCTGCGACAGACAATCATGCTTATTTGGCAAGTCTACAGTATTTCAGTGCCTTATTTCCAAACCAAAATAAAACCGGACAATTGTTAAGCGTCACACGGCATTCCTCGGTATTTTCTTATATAGCATTCTTTTGCAGTGCTGTTGCGTCTCATTTGGTGTTTAACCTCGACATCCCTGTGCAAAAACATGTATTCCACCCCAGTGAGTCCTGATGCTCGCACTCAGTGATACGTCACTTAATATGCTTATTGGAGTTTGACACTGTTTGAAGTTCGTTTTAGCAAAATATTATGACTACAAAAAAACGCCGAGGATTTCCCTTCGACCTCAATGTCATCAGCAAACTACATATCCAGTACTGTGGAAATGGCATTCCAATAAGAAATTAATGGTTGCAGTACTTGGGCATAGCCAATATGAATGCGCTGTTTAGATGCTCCTGTATGTCCAGCAGAGTGCGTCTGGTCCATATTGAGCGAAATATGCTCGTCCTACCGAATGTTGACAAGTTTGGACGGAGGCTGGAGGCATGGTAAAAGTTGAGAGCCGAGAGAAGAATCAAGTTCGTCTTTAGGTTTTCTTTGTTCGAAAACGTCACATCGACTGTTACGGTCGAAGAAACATTCCGAAGCGTATAGTTGTCGCGCGCAGATGGCATCCACTGATAGATTTCCCTTATGACCATTAGCCTCTAAAAGTCATGCTGGTAGAATTTAGGGTTTAGCAAAATTGTAGATGCTTAGGTTAGATCGTCGGTCGTTCAAATTCCCTCAGATTACCAAATGCGTAATTAATAAAGACAACATTTACGAACTGACCAGAAATCTAAGTGACATTGTCATTGAAGGAAAGTTTACATTGCATTCGCACTGCATAGCTTTCTGTTCGCCCATGAGTCGTTTTACAAAGCAGCCAGTAGCAGTCGGTTTGGCGTCAATTTTAAAATGTATCTGCGTCCTCACATCAGGGGAGTACCTCCTTCCAACGATCGGAACATCGACGTGTTCTAATAGATGCATCACGACGTAGGACAGATCCATTGTGGTTTCGTTACGCGGACATAGTTCGGGGTCTTAAAGAAGGAAAATTTAGATTAGTTGCAATCAGGCTTTTGCAGATATAAAGCAAGAGAATTCAGCATGTATATTTTCGCGCGTGGGCAATGAAGATTCTGTGGTAAACCCAACTTCGATGAGTTACAAATTCGAATCCCAAATTTTTCGTAGTTAGCTAGTTATAAGTAGAAACGTTATAAAGGGCTATTGACTAACCCACATCAAGTGTGCTTACTAGTAGACTTGGCTTGCGTAATTAGGCAAAGCAGGAGGCTGGCATACGCGCATATGCATTCCTTCATGATGCTTTGACTTTCACCGATATAGTCGTGGCAGTATTATGAACTTATAAAAATGGCGGCACCAATCACGTTCTCTTCTCTATATCCCTCCATTGTCATTGGTTAGTGGCAGTGTGATGGTCACAGAATAGGCGTCTGCATATGCATCCACCTTGAATTTTCGCACAAGGGCGCTGAAATAGCAAGTATGAAATGCACATCTGCTCCTTATGAAAGCTCGTCCTGAAACGTACGGAACACAAAAGACATACTGCTGTTGCCACTTTGCTGCGTAATACCAAATTTTTTTTCTTTGATAATGTTACGCTTGCAGTGTTCTAAAACAGACCTGATGTCTTCATGCAGACTGACTTGCCAATAACTGCGTTTTTTTGGTTTAGACGGACACTTTGGATGTCAGGGCCGACTTCCTCAGCTGCAGTGGGAATTAAAGGAATCACCGTTTGCCATTTTTCAGGTAAGTAAAGTTATAAACGATCAAAGGGGAACTTGAGATTTTACGCACATGCTTTAGATTGGCGTCGAACAAGTGGCCGACTACGATGATATCGATATAGCCGTAGTGTCCGAGGAAACTCAATGATCACACTCATAAGCCGTTTATGAGTCCCCGTGGCAGGTATTACCAAAAGACTTCATTCAAAAACCAAAAATAAGCCCGCACTAGTAACATTTTACTCAAAGACCACAGACGAAACAGCAGGTGAATAAAACTCCTGTTCCATCGATCGCATCTACATCTTATCAGCGGGCATGGTCAGTTGTAATCCAAAATTCGTTCGGTAACAGACGGTTTGCGGATGTGAAATTATGAAAATTGTCAAGGACTGTGCCTGATAAATATACCCGAGAAGATTTCTGTTGGACCAAGAGAGTAGATGTATGCCAAAATAGGGGAAATAGTGGCGCACTATAAGGATGGGTCTGATAAGCATATTGAGAACGTCAAACATAGGACCCTCGTTGAACCACGTAGCACTGTTCTATGCCCTAAAATATAGGTCAATCTCATGATGAAAATAACTTCGCAAGCCGCCGAGGGAGAGATGGCAGCATGTGGCAGATATGCGAAAACAGATATCAGTGTTTCAGAGGCTAGACCGTTGGCCGTACGAAAGTCTTCACCTTGCTGTCCTGAGTTCAAATCTCATCGAGGCGCCGAGTTTTTCACAGTTGGTTAAAATGAATGAGATATCAGTGTCTTTCCATCGCTGGGCGGCTCCTCAATCGTGGTAAGTCCTTTAAAGTAGACAGTGAGGATCACGTTCAGTACAGTTTCTGGAAAAAACACAATGTTGTCTGACCAGACGACCTGAATGACATGCAAGGGTAGACCTGAGGCTGTGAGCACAGGATGAAAGAGACTTGAGTCCTGGACTGGGTTTCAGTCTAAATTCTAGCAGTACCATATTTTTAAGGGGTCGGGATGGAAAACACGAGGTATGACGTCTGATTTTAGTGCCATAACAATGCACGCCCTGCCCTTTGGCAAATATTAGACTGCACATGATCCAAACCGTTCACGACAGTATCACCAACAAAACTGCATGCAACCATGTTAAATCTTAAAGCAGGAGGGATCGAGAAATAAACAGAACTACTGGATGGCAATGAAAGCTGAAGAGACTTGCAGATGTCAAGGAAATTAAAATTTTCCGAGTTGTCTCCAACCTGTGCACAGCTGCTTACTTCCGACATAAAACACTATTGACGTAGGAGTAGTGGATTTCGAAAGAGTTGCGCTCCTATTCAGCCCTCCACGATATCCGATGCCGTCATTAGCAGACCATCTAGGAAGAGACCTTTGTCACTCCTGACCATCTGCCCTCGCTGCAGTTGGTCACTGATGTCGTAGGCCAGATGTCCCATGGAAACTCACCTGGCTCGAACTTAATTCCAACTGCAGCAGTTAAGTACGATGCCACACAATGGATGGAAAGCTCTGAGATCCTATCAAAAACATTTGCCCCTCAACATCACAAACATATTAGTAGGCCGCATCTTCAACGATTGCCTAGACACGCACCTGAAGCAGAACTCTCTCCATCGCAGAAGCGCAGTAATAATTCTGGAGTTAGTGCGTGACAATATACTGATGCTGGTAGCTGCACACTGAAAGACAAATGTCCAAAATGACCGTTAGACAGAACGCCACACTGCACACACTGGCTAAATCTGAACATATATGCGTATCCATGCACGAAGGCACCAGAAGAGTCAAAAGTTTTGATTTCAGAATAAAGACACTTTTACTCTACATGCAAGCGCAAACCAGCGATCGTAAATAAGTGATTACAGATTCTGGTGGACTACGTTAACGGTCAGCCTACATTCTATTACTGTCATTTTAGCAGTTTAACGAAATAAAATAGCCTGGCAAATAATAGCTCAAAAGGACAATGTCTGTGAACTTCGACAGGCGTTGCCAGATTTGCAGAAAATAACAAATGTCAACATTTCGGGGTATGATGCAAAACCCAGTTGTCGGCAGTCGTCGCGCACACTGAGACTCCTGTCACACCCCTCCCTTGTTGTTGTTGTTGGTCAAAAACCTGGTAATTTGCTGTGTGGACCATTGGATATGGAGCGGAGAGACAAGGTGGGCGCTCGACCGTGACATCCACCTGCACCCTCGCCCGCCTCCAGTTTTCTTGACTCTGTCTCGACACCGTGTGCAGCTGGGGAGGAGGAGGGAATGGGGCAGGTGATGTGCAAGTCTACAATCAATATAAACTATTTCCCGCACAAGTCACCGCCCCTGTTCTCACCTTGCTGTGGAGTACACGGTAGACATCGTCGGAATCGACGATTGAACGTTCGTGTGTGTGTGTGTGTCGTGCCATCTAAACGGGCCTCTTGACTTGTTATTGACACCGAGGTCATGCGGGGGAGGAGGAGAGAGTGTAGGTAGATGCTAAACAAGTCTACCCGCACTATAAACCCCTGCGTAAGTCACGGTCCCTGCTCCCACAATGCAGTCTGTGGGGCACACGATGGACATCATCGAGGTCGATGGTCGAACTGTCGTCGTCTTCGTCGTCGTCGTGTGTATGTGTGAGTGTGTGTGTGTGGGGTAAAGAGGTGTCAGCGGTGGGTTCACGTGAAGGTCGTAGTGGTCGCTCACTTGCTTGCAGGTGAGACTACGCCTCGCGTCCACTTGCTGGCACTCAAATCTCACATGTGGCTCCACGTAGCTGGGCTCTGCTCAGCGGCCAAACCCCGGGCAACCGCCTCGACCGGCGGGCTAAACCAGGAGGGGGCGGTTACTCCCTGTGCGCGTTGTGTCGCGTGCACAGGTGACTGCGGACTCCGTGGACGGTTGGTCGGATGGAACACCGCGTCGGCGCCGTCGTGACGAGGCTCTGTCTGGCCCACCGCTGGTCAGCCGGCTGGTGGTGGAACGTCGCATCGGCATCGTCGAGACGAGGCTCCGCCCGGTACGCCGTGGATCAGCCGGTGGAATGGATCTCCGAATTGGCACCGTCGACACACGCCCATCTGGTGCACCGTAGGAGACCGTAGGCTTGCGGCAATGCCGTAAGCCACTGGCAAATTCGAGTCGTTCTTCCAATGCCAAAAAACTCGTGGCCCACAGTGGAGTTCGGCCGCGCCGGCACATCAAGCAGCCCTATTCAGGGTCAGGCACTGCTTCCTTCGGGGTGGGCCTGGAAATGCTGGCCTAAAAATTGCTGGGGAACCACGTCGTCTGCTGGCGCACCGTGGTCGCAGACGCAAAACTCACGGTCGAAACAAACAAAATCGAAAAAAAACAACAACAACCATACTCATTCTACTCATCCTACCTCCGTCTATTCTCCTGCCTATTCTTGTCCTTCGTCATCTTCTTTTCCACCTCCTTCTCGTCGACCCACTCGTTTTCCCCAGACTGACAGGATGAGCCCGCTCAATCTGGCAGCCAGGAATGTTCGCTCCCTTTTAGACAATCCAAAGAGCAACCGACCGGAACGGAGGACGGCGCTAGTGGCACGAGAACTGGCGCGCTACAACGTGGACATCGCCGCACTCAGCGAGACCCGATTCTCCGAACAAGGCCAACTGGAGGAGGTGGGTGCCGGTTACACCTTCTTCTGGAGTGGTCGACCCAGGGCAGAGCGACGAGACGCGGGCGTCGCCTTCGCCATCCGGACCGACATCGTGGGATGACTGCCCTGTTTGCCGCAAGGAATCAACGACCGTCTGATGAGCCTCCGCCTGCCTCACCGGCGAGGAGGCAAGTTCGCCACCATCATCAGCGCCTACGCTCCGCCGATGACCTGTTCCGACGCCGTCAGAGACAATTTCTACGAGGACCTGAACGCCCTCTTGGCGACTGTGTCGAAGGCGGACAAGTTGATTGTCCTTGGCGACTTAAATGCCCACGCCGGCACAGACCATACTGCATGGAGAGGGGTGCTGGGTCCTCACGGTCTCCGCGGCTCCAACGACAATGGCCTGCTGCTGCGCAGACCACCGCCTCGCCCTGAAGAACACGTTCTTCTGTCTGCCGGAGCGAGAGAAGGCCACCTGGAGGCATCCTCGGTCGCGCCAGTGGCACCTGCTTGTCTATGTCCTCGTCCGGAGGCGAGATCAGCGTGATGTGCTGGTGACGAAGGTGATCGCGGGTGCTGGCGGGTGGACCGACCATCGCCTCGTCATCTCAAAGATGCGTATTCGCCTACAGCCTCGCAGGAGACCACAAGGTAAGCGACCCCAGGTAAGCTGAATGTTGCTTTGTTGTCTTTGCCCACTCACCATCTCCATTTCAGCAATGAGCTAGCTCAACGGCTAGACAACCTTCCTATCGCTGCAGCTGCCGTCGCTGCCGAGAACGCCTCCGTGGAGAACCGCTGGTGTCAACTGCGAGACACGGCCCAGTCGACGGCACTCGCCGTCTTCGATCGCGCTCCCCGTCAACACCCGGACTGGTTCGACGACAACGACGCCGCTATCAGAAATCTGCTTACTGAGAAGAACCGCCTACACAAAGCCTACGTAGATCACCCCGCTGATGCCGGCAAAGCTGCATTCTACCGCAGTCGCCGCCAACTTCAGCAACGTCTGCGCGAGATGCAGGACGCCTGGACTGTTCGCAAAGCTGAGGAGATCTAAGGGTACGCGGACCGCAACGAATGGAAGAACTTCTTCTCTGCGATCAAAGATGTCGACGGTCCGCCGACGAAGGGCACTGCTCCTCTCCTCAACGCCCACGGCAGTACTCTCCTGACTGAGAAGATGCAAATCCTGCAGCGATGGGCTGAGCATTTCCAAGGCGTCCTCAACCGCCCCTCCGTCATCTCAGACGTCGCCATCGAGCGTTTGCCGCAAGTGGAGACCAACGCGGACCTCGAAGTCCCGCCATCTCTCCAGGAGACCATCAGGGCCGTGCAGCAGATCTCCAACGGGAAAGCACCCGGATCGGACGCAATCCCTTCTGAGGTCTACAAGCACGGAGGTCCCCAACTGATGGATCACCTGACTGCGCTCTTCCAGGAGATGTGGCCTCAAGGTGAAGTCCCGCAAGATTTCAAGGACGCAACCATCGTGCATCTCTACAAGCAAAAAGGGAATCGTCAAGTCTGCGACAATCACCGCGGCATCTCCTTGCTGAACATCGCCGGGAAGATCTTCGCTCGCATCCTTCTCAACCGCCTCACTAACCATCTGGAACAGGGCCTTCTGCCGGAAAGCCAATGCGGCATCCGCGGACATCGTGGAACCAAGGACATCGTCATCGTGGGACCACGGATATGATCTTCGCCGCCCGTCAACTTCATGAGAAGTGTCAGGAGATGCGGACCCACCTGTACTCTACTTTCGTGGACCTGACGAAAGCCTTCGACACGGTGAATCGTGAAGGACTTTGGAAGATCATGCAGAAATTCGGCTGTCCGCAGCAATTCACTCAGATGGTGCGTCAGCTGCACGACGGTATGATGGCGCGAGTCACGGACAACGGAGCTGTCTCAGAGGCATTCGCAGTCACCAACGGAGTGAAGCAGGGCCGCGTGCTGGCGCCAACCCTCTTCAGTCTCATGTTCTCTGCCATGCTGATGGACGCCTACCGCAATGAGCGCCCCTGGATTCGCATCGCCTACAGGACGCACGGTCACCTGCTGAATCAACGGCGGATGCAATTCCAATCGCGCGTATCCACAACCACAGTGCACGAACTCCTCTTCGCCGACGACTGCGCCCTGAACACCCCTCGGAAGAGGATATGCAAAGCAGCATGGACCTGTTCTCCGCCGCCTGCGAGAACTTTGGGCTGGTCATCAACACGCAGAAGACGGTGGTGATGCGCCAACCGCCACCCAAATCAGTCACAGCCCCCAACGCGCAGCCGAAAATCAGCATGAACGGAATTCAACTGCAACTGGTGGAGAAATTCCCCTATTTGGGCAGTACTCTCTCCCGCAACACCAAGATCGGTGATGAAGTCGCCAACAGGATCTCGAAAGCCAGTCAAGCCTTCGGTCGCATCCAAACCACAGCTTGGAATCGTCACGATCTTAAACTGAGCACGAAGTTGAAGATGTACAAGACCGTCATCCTGCCGACGCTACTGTATGGAGCGGAGACTTGGAAACTGTACACAAGGCGGCCACGCCGACTTAACCACTTCCACCTCAGTTGCCTTCGCCGCATCATGAGTCTGAACTGGCAGGATCGAATCCCCGACACTGGAGTATTGGAACGAACGGGAATGCTCAGCATCTACGCCATAATGAGACAAATACTGCTGCGCTGGAGCAGCCACCTGGTGTGCATGGACGACGAGCGACTACCCAAACGACTCTTCTACGGAGACGTCGCGACGGGTTCTCGCCGTCAAGGAGGCCAAATCCGCCGTTACAAGGACACCTTGAAGTCCTCCCTGAAGCGTCTGCAAATCCACCTCACCAACTGGGAGAACCTCGCACTCGATCGACCGACCTGGACTAGAACAGTGAAGACAGACGCTGCGATCTACGAAGCCAACCGCATCGCTGCCGCCAAAGCGAAACGCGAAGCCCGCAAATCACAACTTCGCCCAGTACGCAACGACGCCGCCGCACAACCGCTTCCAACGTGTCCTCGATGTCAACGGACATTCCGGGCTCGAATCGAACTTATTGGACATCTTTGGACCAACTGCGCATCTCGCATTGCACCAACCATCGTCCCCGCCTGCATCATCCTCCACATCTCCGCCGCCAACTAACTCTGACAATTCTTCTGAACCACCACTCCCACACTCCTCCTCCCCCTCATCCGCGTCCACTGCTCCAACGACGGCCGCTCAAGCGACTGTCACGCGCGCAACAACCGAAACTACCACCACAACCTCCCCCGACTACAGCGATGAGGATCAGGGCTACACCTGCCCTCACTGCGACGGCACATTCACCTCACACATCGTCCTGGTCGGTCACTTGCGAATCCATCGCACAGGGACTGGCGAACCAGTGCCTGGAGCACTAACCTACACCCACCGTACTCGCCTCCACTGACCACACTGCCCTCGCCCCTTCAGGCGTCGCATGGGCCTATTTGGCCACATCCGCATCCACGAGAGCGGCATTAACCGCACTCCCGACACACACACCACATCCACCGTGCACACCCCCACCCTCGCTTCATCCATCTGTGCCACCAACACCACCACCGCCTCCTCTGTGGCTGACACTGACACCGCCGACTTCTCATGCCCAAACTGTCCACGCACATTCACCTCACGCATCGGCCTGGTCGGTCACTCGCGAATCACACAGAGACTGGCGAGCCAGTGCCTGGAGCACCCACCTATACCCATCAAGCACGTTTCAATTGCCCACACTGCTCTCGCACTTTCAGGCATCGCATGGGCCTATTCGGCCACATGCGCATCCACGACGACCTGCGGTAAACAACCGCCGGTCACACCACACATTGACTCACTCCTTACCTCCCAACACCATCACCACCACACATCAACCCGCACCCATCGCAAGCTCCCAACCGCCACCTCTCACGCAAGTGGGAAGTGTGCATCTCGACTCGGTCCCCATACGGCTTCGGCTGCACGGGTGACTTGAGTCCAAGGCTCTCCCGACACGTCAAGCGTCGTGGATAGGAAGGTTGCTGGTTGACGCCTGCTCTCGGTTCACGCAGTTCGTCGCGTTTTTTGTGTGTGTTGCGTGGAGTGGCGGACTGGTGGGCTGGGGAC